ACTGCCAGGGTGGGGGCAGCCACAGCCTCCCTGGGCACAGGGGCTCACCACCACAACAGGAAAAGTTTCTTCCTGATACCTAACCTAAATTTCCCTCTTTCAATTTCTCCCCATTACTCCTTGTCCTGTCCCTGCAGTTCCTAACACAATGTCCCTCTGCAGCTTCCCTGGAGCCCCTTCAGACACTGGAAGGTGCTCTGAGGTCTCCACACAGCCTTCTCCAAGATACAGTGGATATCTGTACATGAATGTTAGTGTTTCATCCTGACTGTCCCCAGGAGCATGGACAATCCCTGTCCTTCCCCCTGTAGCAGAGGCTGTGCAGCCACCCCCTGCCCAGCAGTGCCAGGCTGTGCAGCCTGACAAGGTGTGACAAACAACAGCAGGATGTTTTGCTCCGGGACTGATAACATTGTGTTCTCCTGTCCTTCCAGGATCTAATGAACACCTTGGCACTGAAGGAGCAAACCCATGTCCTGACTTGAAAGTCTCCCACAGGCTCTCATGGCAAAAAGGGCAGCACTGAGCCTGCTGCTCCCTCCCGTGACTCACCGTTGTAGCTGTCTGCTTCAGGGTCTTCCACATTGATAGCAATTATCTTCCAGTCTGTCTCTCCCTCATCTATCAGTGCCAGCGTGCCCAGCACCTTCACTTGGATGACCTCTCCTCGAGAGCAGACCTGCAAGGACAGAGACCTTCTTGTCCACACTGAGCCATTCCAGGAATGCACAACAGGAGAGGCTGTGCAAGCCAGGGGAGCTCAGCAGTCAGGTACCACGAAATTAGCTTTGCTTATCAGCAGCTCATAAGCCTTGGCTCATCTCAACAACAATCTCCAGAGGCAGTGGAGGGAAGCATCACATTCTTAGGGTAGAAGAGGTAGGAAATGAATAATGTCTCTAGGTAATTGACTCTGGGGACATTAATTCCACATTTGAGAAGACAGTTGCCCTTTGGAATGCATTACCTTGCTTCCAATTTCACACACATCGATGGGATCATTATCTCCACAGCAGCCAGTGTTTTCATCCTTGTGACCTGGGTCCTCCCAAGTCTGAAAAAAACCCAAACCAACACCAAAATCAACCACACACATGAATAAGACCTCTCAGGTTTCATGAGGAAATGAAAAGCAGGTTCATTTGAGACCTGCAGTTGCCTGGCAGATACAGGTGATGGCCCACTTCACACTTGCTTGGTGGCTGGGCTGCTGTTTGCCTTGTGCCTGCAGAGCTTGAATCCAAGTGAACAGGTCTTATCTTGCCAAGAGCAAGCTACTCCCTCCTACCCACAGACCTTTTTGCAACAGCTTTCCAGGCTTCCTCCTCTATTCCACAGCTGTGTAAAGGTGAAGTTCACATGCATAAAGAACACTCACTGATTTGGCTGCCTGCCTGCTCCTCTCCCTATTCATTCCTTAACAGAAGTTTCCTGAACTCCAGATAACATTCCAGCAAAGCTGAAAGACAGACAGGGTGGATTGTTTCCTTTTAATTAAACAATTAAAGACACTGTTAACCCTACAGAAGTGATAATGCAGAGTCCTATGTCCTGTGCTACCCAGTGCATCTCACCTAAACTGGTGAGTATAAGTTGAAAGACAGGACTCTAGGAGGTGTTTGAGCTATGCTTCCAGCCTGGTCTAGTGGGAGATGTCCCTGCCCAGGGGACAGGGGGTTGGCACTAGATCATCTCTAAGGTCCCTTAACCAGCTCCTTAACATACTATGCAAAATCAGACCTGTTTAAAACACACTCCTGATCAGCAGTAAAAGAACTCCATGCCCACTTGCATCATAAGGAGCATCTACTTCTAAGGTGGCTGAGATATAAAAAAAAAAGAGATATAAAAAAAAGAATGTTCTTCCCAAGTATCTACATGCTAGGACAAGACTAGTATAGTCAAGACCTCATGATGGATCCAGAGTGTTCAGAAGATGAACTGACACCTGGGTGGTGCTCAAGGACTGTGCACAATCACTATCACTCTACAAGGAAGTGTTAAGCTCTTAATGCACAAACATCTTTGATCCCTTAACACATGACAGAGCAAAGGCTCCAAACAACACAACTCTGCACAAAGAAACATACTCCAGAACCTACCTGAGCAGAAAACAATTTAACTGAGCCCCTGTGGGGAAAACCCTTGACATGTGCTGCTATCAGGACTAGAAGCACATACTTCAGTGTGTTGCCCTGTGATCTGTCACTGACAGTTTGTTTCCCGGAAGGAAACTCAAACCTTGGAGAACATCAGAGGCAAACAGACTTGCTCAGAGCCCCTCTTTATCTAGCAGTCCCCAGCCAGTGTGGAGCATGTGCCGAAATGTCACTATCTTGTCCTACCTCGCCAGCTGTTTCTGAAAAAGAACATCTGTGCTGGGTGTCTGCAAGAAGAATCTCCCCTAAAGATTCAGCCTAAATCCTGTACTATTAGGATAAAACTTTAAAGCCCTTTATGTTTCACCAGGCAGGAAGTGAGGGCATTGCATTGCCAGATACATGGTGAAAGCTTCACCCAAACACAAGGACCTGTCAGCTACTGACCAACCAACCTCTGAGGAGAGGAGCAGCACAGCAGGTCCCTCACCAGCAGCAGCTGCTCATCCTCAGGTAGACTCTTTACAGCATCGGTTACAAGCCTAACCATTGGGATTTCTGCATTCCTGATAGGTTCTCTGCATTAACAAGATTACATATCCAGCTGCAAACTCTGTTCCAGATCAGACTCTCCCCTGACCTTTTTGCTCTTTAATCCAGTGGCAGCCACAGGTATCCTCCCTCCTCCCCACCAGAAGGGATGAGGCACCAGGATAAATCAGAGTACCTGTGGGATAGCACCATAATTCCAGATGTAGCCCTTGTGAGGGAACACGTTGGCCACATAGCGCAGTTTTCCCTTCTTCACATCCTGCTTGATTGGGTTCAAGGGATCTTTTGTTGCAATCTGGAAGGAAAGTTACATAAATCCCTCTGCTTTGCTCTCTGTGAAAAACTAGTGATTTCTTTTTCATGGCACTGACAAGTCCAGAGAGCAGGAGCTGACCCTGAAGCCAACAGAAGACACTGGGCAACTCTGTTTTCCTGGTGCATTGCCATACCCTGGGATGTAGTTTCCATTGCTATCCCCTGGGATATAGTTTTCAGCAGACTGCACACATCAGACCCATGTGGGGCTGAGAGCAGAAGCCACAAAGAATCACCCAGAGGGTGTCTGGGCACTGGAACAGCTCCCTAGGGCAGTGGTCACAGCCCCAAGCCTGACAGAGCACAAGGAGTGTTTGGACAATGCTCTCAGGCACAGGGTGGGATTCACAGGGATGTCCTGTGCAGGGCCAGGAGTTGGACTAGATGATCTTCAAGGGTCCCTTCCAACTCTTGACTATTCTGTGAATACAAAGTCTTCCAAATTCTGCAATCTCAGCCCCCACATTTTCCTGGAAGAATTTAAGAGGTGTCTCAATGTGGTGCTGGAGGATATGGTTAAGAGTTTAGGAGTTACAGCAGTGACAGGTTAATGGTTGGAATTGATTATCTTAGACATTTCTTCCAACCTTGATGAGATTGGTTGATGACTCTATAACTAGACCTCTAGCATTAAGTGTTGACAGGAGAGGTCAGAAACCACTCTGATATTTGAGGTGAAATTGGGGAGGAGAGAACCAGCAAAAGTCAGCTCAAGCCCTTTGGGTAGGAAGTGTCAAGTAGTTACCTCCATTTTAGCATTTGTCCATCGAGGTACTTCCACCACCATGTTGAACACATCCTGCAGAAAGCAAAACAGCAGTGAGTGGGAGGAATCTCAAGGCCACACTTCAAACTGGGGAACACATGCAACTAAGTATGAAAGTCAGGCAGACCACATGAAACTATAAGGGTTTTTCCTATTGGTTTGGGTTTTTTTTTCCAGTGTCAGTTTTGATACAGCTGATAAAAGTCCCATAGCATAGTCACACATCATCACTCAGAGCTGAACCCCATGAAAGGCCAGACTGAGGTTACCCACAAGCTCTCCATTAGCTGACACCTAAAACACCATCATCTTCCTAGGTCACAGCACAGCAGGCTGAATGAATCAAAGACAGCTGCACACAAACTAGCCTGCACATAAACCAAAGGGTTAGGAATGTTTATTAAACACAAAGTGCTTAATGCTCCAGCAGGAGCCACCCTGACAGTTTAGAAGAGCTGCCCTGGCAGTTCAGAAGAGCCAAGGCTAAAAGGAGCAAACCATCTATTTAACAATGTGGGCACCTATGTACTGTCCTGAATGACCAAGATCATTCTCAAATACTCATCTGTCTTGAAGCAGGAAAACATGCCCAAGCTCCCCCTCTCCAAGTGACACTCTTAGAAGAGCAGACCTTGTTATCAGCATAGTGTGAGGCTACAGATGTGGGGGAGAAATGCAGAACCACATCTTGCAGTGTCTAGTTTACAGGTGATGCTTGAAAACATCTCCTGTTGTTCCAGCTGAGCTGAGAGGCCTCTTGAGAGTTCAGTGTCAAAGAAAACAAGCTTTTCATTGCGTGAGCCTTAACATCTGCTGTTTGAAGAGATAATAGCCTTTTAACAAAAAGTCAAACCTTGCTCCCTAGTACGGGCAAGGTCTCTAATCCCCACCTTAAGCAGCATTAGCATGGCAAAGTCCCTGGAAACCTGTGTTGCGCCATGATTAGATTGCTCTTGTGCAACAAGCACTGTTACATCACTGACCCTGCCCACATCCCGCCCCACCAGGGATTTATTGCACCCCCTGAATTGCAGGGGTCACTGCTCATTTGCAGTTTATATGTGAAAAGGTATAGCTTGTTTTGATTCCTAACTGGAGGAAAGGAATGAGGCAATGTGAACAGGCTGGGCAGGTGCTGCGCAGCCATAGAAAGGTGACTTGGAGGTACATCTTTGTTAGGCTTGAAGTTTCCTCAAGGTCCACCAACTGACTGATGTACCTTGGCCTAAGACACCCAGTGATCAGCCCAAAGTCATTCCTTCACAATGCCAGGGCACATAGGTACAGATAAGGTCAGCACAGCACCGCCCTAGACTGAAAAAAACCACCCTGCAATCCTCTCAGTGTCTTAGAAGTCTAAGGATAAAGATCAAGGAGCCCAGACAGAGTGAGACAACCTTTTGCTCTGAGCTGGGCTCCCTAACATAGCTGCCAACCCACCTGCCAAGCAGTGAATAAAGCCTGAGGGGAGAGGAGCTGCAGCCACAGAGAGGCCTGATGTGATCAGCACTATTGTGTAACTGCAGGAACTGCGACCTTCAGCGACTGGGACTTGCCTCTCCTAATGACTTGGCACAGAGGTGCTGGCAGCAGGGCACAGCAGGAGCCCAGTTCCCCCTGTTAAGCATTACCAGTGCACCAGGAGAAACCCTCTTCACCCCTGCACATACTCCCCTGCTCCTTCCTCCCCTGTGCTGTGTTTGCCAAGTGCAGCATTTTCTGGATTTTCCTTGACTGAATTACCTTCCAGATACCTGCTCTGGGAAACGGCTTCCCTCCTGGGTCACAGACACTGCTTCATCACTGACCTGAATGCTTACAATCCACCATTTTCCTTCTGAGCAGGCAAAAGCCACCTCAGAGATCCCAGATTGCTCCATTAGCTGCACCTCAGCAGCTCAATCAGTTCCTTTTTGAGGTTCACCTCTCAAATCTGAATGATCTTTTCCTGTTGCAGAACCACTCTCCACCTCTCCCTCATAAACTACATTTCTCAAGCTGCACAGCTTTCCAGTACATGTTAGAAGAAGAAACAAGCTACAAGAGCAAAGAACACAGTCAGAGCCCAAGGTACACCTGAGAAAGCATTCAGTGAAATGAAAATGAAACCAGTTTGGTTTCCTAGAGCTGGGGGGGGTTTGATTCAGAGCAGTCACATTTGACTAAGCAGTGTTGCCAGAAGGATGTGAGAGCCCTGCAGCACTGCATGGGGCAGGTTCTGCCAGGCAAGAGTCCCCAGGAGGTGCCACAGCAAGAGTGTAACATCCCCTCCCTGTGTTTGGTGCTGGACTGTACTGCAGGCACAAAGCAGCTCTGCTGCAGCCAGATCTTGAGCCTGAAATACCATGCAGCATAGGAGTCCATGTAGATATTACAGCTGAACAGAAAATTGCCTGTTTTTAACCCAGAATGCCTTTACGGGTGAGCTCAAGCCAAGCACTCCCATCTCAGGCACAGAAATGAGAATGAGATCATTCATTCTCTTCTCCCGGGACTCCACCCGAGGGCAGGATGGCCAAGAACACAGTCCTTGCACAGGCAGGAGATGTCTCCATTAGGTGCTCCTGCAGTGTGGGGATCTGGGAGCCTCGCCTGGGTGTTTCAGGGATGCAGGACCCCTGGTTTCCCATGGTTTTTCAGGGATACAGGACCCCCTGGTTCTCATGGTTTTTCAGGGATACATGACCCCCTGATTCCCATGTCTTTTCAGGGATGCAGAACACCCTGGTTCCAATGGGTTTTCAGGGGTACAGGACCCCCTGGTTCACATGGTGTTTCAGGGATGCAGGACCCTCTGGTTTCCATGGTTTTAAAGGGATGCAGGACCCCCTGATTCCCATGGATTCTCTAGCCATGCAGGACCCCCTGGTTCCCATGTTTTTTCTAACCCTGCAGGAGCCCTGGTCCCTGTTTTTTTTTTTTCCAGGGGTGCAGGACTCTCTAATTCCTTGGTTTTTTTCCAGGGATGCAGGACCCCTCTTACCTTCCCGGCGTCCGCATAGATAGGGATATCATGGAAAGGCGAGATGTATCGCCCGGCGGCGTCCTCTGCAAGGCAAAAGGAAGGTGAGCACAGGTGAAACGCTGCAGAACACCCCGACAGGTCCCACGCGAGGGCGACCCCGGGTGAGCGGGATGGGGGAGACAGCGCGAGGGCTCCCCCAGCAA